GACGTGGTGTCTGTAGTAGCTAGTGAAAGTTTTAATGAATTGTTAAATTAATTTATAATGTTGATAACTTTGGGTATCATAGCTTAATGGAGCACATCTTGTTGAGCTAGCTGTGTCGCTCCGCCACTTGATATTCCTGCTGTGGGAGGTGGCAGACATGAGCTGGTGAACATCCCACCCATCTCACATGTGATTTTATACTTGATGTTGTAGAGCTGTCTCCGAGGTTTAAAAAGGACTGAATGAGTATGCCTCCAAATAAAAGCTGTCTGCTTACGAGTTCACAGCATAAGTAGATTCTTAATAACTTTTCATCATTAAAAAAATGTTTGTTCTGAATTTGGAAATCATTTTCTGTATGTAACTGATGATAAAACCCCAAGTAGGTGTCAGGTGGGGTACGTGTATTTGTTTAATCACGTCTGTCTAGGGGAAGAAACTTGTTGCTTTTGCAGCGGTGTTCTTGCTTCTGTTTTTTTCCTGTTGTTCCTTTGTGTGCATTAAAGTTTCCCATGGTTTGCAGTATACTCAGTAGAAAGCTGTTTCAGAGATTATACCCTTTCTGATCTTCTGAAGGGAAAGAACTTTAACATTTGATCTGATCCTGTTGCATTTACCACTTCAGTTATTAGGTTAGCAAACTTATCTATAACTTGATTATGTGGGAAGTACTAATGTGTATGTCAGCTGGCTACATGAGCCTCCAAATGCTGTAGAGACTTCCCCAAAGTCTCCTGTGATAGTAATTCTTGTTTCTTTTGTGATATAGTTTGCGCTGTGTTCTTAATGAACGTGACTAGCTTAAGGAGAACTGGACAGCACTCGGTTGACTGTCACCAGTGACTGACTTTACATGAGACACAGGAAGGTGGAGTCTGGCATTTGGTGGACAGATGATCATCATGCGTACTGCCCAGCACTGGGGCTGTCTGCTGAAGGCACAGACAATGGAGCATTCAGCGCCGTATGAACAGGGGGCATGGCCACAGTGGTTCTCGGTTTGCTGAGTAAGCAGGCGGTGGTACGCATGAGCTACAGAAACTTCAAGCTTAAAACTTCGTATGAACTCTTTTGTTCAGATATGCCTGTGGGTTAATGAATACAGCAGAGACTCTATATTGTAGATCGTTTCTGATTGCATGGAGACTATACGAAGCTGCTGGAGTTCATGGAGATTATTACAAGCATGGATACGGGGGGGTTGGTGGACATGAGTGGGTTTTCAGTGTTTCTGATGAAATTCTGCATTGAAGATTATTTAAAAAAATAATAAACTGAGTTGCCACAAGATTGGAGGAAAGCTGCTTCTATAGAGAGGAAGGTAGCTGAAGAATAGGAGGCAAAGGGTAGGGCTTAGGCATTGCTTTTCAGGTGGGGAAAATGAGCCGTGGGAAGTGACGCTGCAGCTAGTTTTATTCAGTGCCTTCATCCGTGACCTGGAAAGGTAATGAACAGTGAAGTCTCCAATTTTGTTGGTGATATTAGCTCTTTCAAGTAATGAAATTGTGCTGATGGTGAGAAAATCTCACTGTCAGAAGGACTCAACTAAATAAGGCAGGCAGGTAAAAAGGTGGCAAGATAATCTTTGTATAAGTAAGTTACAAGGTAATGCGTCGGGGGGTGGGGGGTGGGGGAGACAACACCTGACACCTAAACCATGCCAGTCTTGTGTTTGGCGCTGCGCAGCAGTTAACTCCCAGGATCTGCCTCCGGTCTTATTACTGAAAGTTCTCTGTAATATTTGGGGGCACCAGCAAAATGTTGAGTATCATCAGGAAGAGAATGGGAAACAGGACATTGTTTTGCCTCTGTAAACAATGATATGCCTGCATCTTGAATTGTGTATACAGTCCTTGAAATGGAAAGACCAGAAGGTCGTAGTAGAGGTAAACACGGGCAAAGGAAGGTAATGGGAAAGGTAAGGAGGTGCCACAACTGCCTTATAAGGAGAGACTAAAATAGCTGCGTGTCTCTTCAGTTGAAGACAAGGCTGGGGCGGGGGGGGGTGGGGTGGGAATAATACAATCAAGACTTACTAAGTCATGAAGATGGAGGTTAAGGTGAATGTGCAGCTGTTCCCTGAATCCTCCAAAGCAAGAACTGGTGATCATTAGGTGAAACTAAGGGGTCTGTTAAAAACAGATGAAGTTCATCTCCACAGAGCTGGCAGTGAAGCTCCACTCCCCTCACCCCACCAAATACCCGGGGGCTACTTGGTGCCAATTTGGGCCCTTGGCTCATAAGTGATTGTGTTAATCTATGAAAATGTGAGGTGCTAATGTACTTGCTGTGCTAATGAATTAATTGTCAATGAAGCAGATACATTAGTTATTTGCTACAGTATCTAAAGTGCTTCCTGTGAAGAATTCCTTTTGTGTCCTGTCTTCACTTGTCATTCAGAAGTATTTAAAATAGATTAAACTATCACGTGCTTTCCAGGGAACATAACAATCGGAGCCTACCCATGCATGGCTATCCCCCACTCTGTTCTGTGTGAAGCCTCAGAAGTGTCTGTCAGATCCTCTTTGCTCTGGTTACGAAATTGGGAATGCAGTTTGAATCTGAGCTCTTGCTTACAAGTACCGGTGCTCCTGTGACTTGGTTTCCAGCACCTGCTCAGAACTGAGTTACAATTGTCATAGTCATGTGCTGACTGATATGTACAAGACTTAGCACTGAAGCTGCTGGTCATTTAAAAAAATTAATAAATTGCTGGAGTCCTCTAATAGCTGAGTGAGTGGGACTCTTGAATGCCTGAAACTGAAGTGTAAGGCATGAGAGTTCATCCGAAAAACACTTTGGAGGGCTGGAGTGCGTCCTGCCAGCAGGTTGCAGCAGCACTGAGTGTGTCTGTAAGCCTGGAGAAAACTTAAGAGGAGCTGATCTTCTGTCTAGGCCAGTGAAAACATCTGGCTTTCATCATCCACATCAAACACTTTAAAAGCTTCTTTTCTTCTAGAAAACACTGAGGCTGATGTAGAAGCTGCCCCAGGTCAGAATGAAGAAAAATCCCTGCCTGCTGCACCTGTTCCTAGCCCAGTAGCACCAGCACCTGCACCGTCCAGGAGAAATCCACCCGGTGGCAAGTCCAGCCTAGTCCTCGGTTAAACCTTTCCCTTCCTGACTGTTTTGAACTCGTGTCTGTTCCTTTCCCCCATGCTTGTGAACTGCACAACTTGAGCCTGACTGTACATCTCGAATTTCTTTCATTAAAAAGAAGCACTTTATGTACTCCATCTTTTTTTTTTTTTTTGAGATCAAGGTTTTTTTTCCACTTCTGTCCTGTGTTTCCCCCAGATCTACTGGAAGTGACATGAGTGTTTTCTAGTGATAGACTCGAGGGAAAGCTTTATGAAGTATAGTAATGTAATTCAAAGGAGAGTAGATTGGTTCTAAGTGTGCTTAGAGGGTTTTTGTACTGAGATTTTTTTAGAACCCCTTAGCTTTACAAGGGTCTAGAATCCTGGTTAAACAGGCCAGCAAACAATCAGCAAGAGCAGTCCCATCCTCCACATGTGGGATTTGGAGATCTAAAAGTCTTCATTGACTGCATGTGGTAAATGCCTTGGGCCCTGCTGTGCCATATAAATCATAAAGTGGTTAGTGTACACCATGCTGCCTTTAAAAAAAAATAATAAAATAATCTTGATACTGGACTACTATGAAGCAGGGTATGTGCCAAATAGAGGGCTGATGACCAGAGCCGCCTGGCCTAATGCTAGGAGGGGATTTATTCAGACTTTATTCAGTGAAGGTGGAGTGGATCATATAAATAAAAAATTACAGGGCATTTTTTTTACAACTGACTCAATGCTGTGCATGATCATGCTGGTGCTTGACCATGAGGTGAAAATCTCATCCTTTAAAGTGTGTGTTGTAATTTCACAAAGCTGGACTGTTGCTTAAAAGTAAAATAATATAGAAATTTTGAAGCAGTGTTTCCTGTGTGGGTTTTATTTCGTAGGTTTGGGTTTGCTTTGTTCTCAGTTGTCCTTGTCCCAGCCAACTCGCCCTGCTCAAATGGAGGTGGAATGCAGCAGTGGAGGAGAGTTCTTACACCTGGCTTGAGGTGGCATCTTCCCCTGAAGAAAGTGTCTGACTTACCTCTTCATTTTTATCATCTAGATTGGAGAAGCATGGAATATGGCTTGATATTTATAATCTATTCTATCCAAAATAGTTTTTTTTCCTCAAGAAAATAGAGGAAATGAAAGTTTATTCTCAAAAAAAAAAAAGGACCTTGACAAGTGAGGGGGTGGAAGGGAGACCAAGCCATGAAGTTCTCTACTGTCCTGGAGGGGATCTGCTGCACGATAAGCCAAAGCAGCGGATCTGTGCAGAACTGGTGTGTCTGCTGCAGAGCAGGTGCCTTTTCCCCTCCTCCTGGAAGAACCAGTGCCTAAAAACACCCTGGGTTCCCACATCAGTTTTGGAGAAGCCTGAGCCCTAGGTGCTTAACCTATGAAACTGGATTTGCTCTAACATGCTCCTTGTCTCCTACACAGAACCATAGAATGCTTTAGGTTGGAAGGGACCTTAAAACTCATCCAGTCCTACCCCCCTGCCCCGGGCAGGGCCACCTCCCCCCAGCCCAGGTTGCTCCAAGCCCTGTCCAACCTGGCCTTGAACACCTCCAGGGATGGGGCAGCCACAGCTTCTCGGGGCAACCTGGGCCAACCACCCTCGCAGTAAAGAATTTCTTCCCAATATCTAATCTAAATCTCCCCTCTTTCAGTTTAAAACCGTTACCCCTCCTCCCATCACTCCCCTCCCTGATCGAGAGTCCCTCCCCAGCTCTCCTGGAGCCCCTTTAGGGACTGGAAGGGGCTGTAAGGTCTCCTCGGAGCCTTCTCTTCTCCAGGCTGAACAACCCCAAATCTCGGCCTGTCCTCCCAGCAGAGGAGCTCCAGCCCTCTGATCACGTCCGTGGCCTCCTCTGGACCCGCATCGGGGACTGCTGTTCCTTACAGCCCATACAGAACGCGCTGTGGCTACCGGCTATGGCGCCTGCCCCTTTTCTGCCCTCGGAGGAGGAAAACAATCAAACGACATTTCCTTTGCCGCCCCCACAACCAGTGGAACTCGTTAAATACTCCTTTACGGGTGCGCAGACCTTGCCCGAGCGCGGTTGCCTTTCCCCCCGCCCGGGCCACGGCAGCCAAAAAAAGGACCCGAGCAGCCCCTCTCCCCCTTCCCCGGCGAGCCGGCCCGGGTCCCCGGGCAGC